TCTAACCCGATCAACCGATCCATTAGGCCAGTTGTTGATAATTTCCACGATTTCCCCCTCTAGCTCCCTGCAAGTGACATCAGCGTGCAGAACCGTCCTCCAAATTTCCTTGACATAGCTGCATTCCGTGAATAGATGGTTGACATTTTCCTTGTTGCAGAAGCACAAGGCGCATCTGTTAGCCAGCGCAATCCCTCGATGCTTTACGTTATCTTGCGTAAGGATCTTCTTGTGCCAGACGAGCCAAATGAAGCCGCACACCTTCATGGGAATGAAACTCTTCCAAACCCTGCTACAAGGGAAGCCCTCAAACCCTGGAAATTTTCTCTCCACTCGAAACCTGTAAAGAGCATTGACAGAGAAAGACCGCTCCGAATTCGGAGTCCACACAACCTGACACGGGCTACTTGTAATCTTGTGAGCGTTAGCCAAAACAGTATCAAACAGTTCCACCCTCTCCCTCCCTCCCCCCCCCCCCCCCACGTAGATAAACATTTAAAGGAATTTCACACGTCACATTCTCACCATTGAAGGTCACATTATCAGAGATCCTTACCTCCGGGTAAACCGCGGCAACAACGATTCTAGGATAAGAGTCAGCGAGTCATTCCCCTGGAATCCAAACATCCTGCCAAAAGGAAACATTAGCACCCGAGCCCGGCTCAATGCAAGCTCCCTTCCAAAAGACCTCTCCAACCCGAGAGATGTTAGCCCAAACTGAACTTCCGAATCTACTTTCCATCTTTCTTATTCTCCATTCCGAGGCTTGGTCAGAATATTTCAGAGCAATCAATTGATGCCACGAGCTCCCCTTTTTTGTAGCGAACCTCCAAACCCATTTCCGTAAAAGTGCGTTGTTTAAACTCTGAAGATCGATCACTCCAAGACCACCATGCTTCTTGTCAGCTTTGCATAAGTCCCACCGAACAAGATGAAACTTATCTTTAACACCCGAGCCACTCCACAAGAATCTCCTTTGAATTCTTTCAAGCCGATCCACCGTCGTCTTAGGCGCTTTGAGCAAAAAGAAATGGTACACTGGCATGCCGTTAAGAGTGGAACAATTGAGGATCATTCTAGCGTCGAATGATAGGTGTCTGCTTTTCCATCCTTGTAGACGATCCTGATATTTATCAATGACCAAATTCTAGACAGGTACTCCATTTGGCCTATCCCCCAAAGGCAGTCCCAAGTACTTATTTGGATCATTGCTCCACCTACAACCAAAGATTCTAATGAGATAGTTGGGCTCATGAACATCACCAACTGATTTGTTCAGATTAATTTTCAGTCCAGTAACCGCTTGAAAGCAAACCAGAATGGCAAGGATATTGATGACTTGTTCAGCAGACGCTTCACAAAAGATGAGAGAGTCATCGACGAAGAGGAGGTGGGTAACCTCCCCCTACCCTGTTGTTCGTCTATGAAGAAACTAGTAATTTCACCCATCTCTTTAAACTTCCCAACCATAAAAGATAATATATTCATAACCAGTACGAAAAGACCCGGAGACAAAGGGTCGCCTTGCCTGACACCCTTCTCCAGCTGAAAAAACCCATGTGACTCCCCGTTCACAAGAACCAAAATCACTGGAGATCACATAATGGCTCTAATCCACTGCTGCCACTGAATCGGAAAACCCATCCTAGAGAGCATATTTAACAAACAACTCCAGTAAACATTGTCAAACGCCTTTACGATATCCAATTTGAACAAAAGATCTGGTCTCCTACTCTTACATCTGCTATCCACGAGTTCATTAGAAATAACCGTAGCCTCAGAAATGTGACGACCACGAACCAAAGCATACTATTTAGGAGACACAACACCAGGAAGAACATTCCTCATTCTGGTCATCAGAACCTTGCTAGCAATTTTGTTAAAAATGCTCATAAGACAGATCGGTCGCAGGTCCTTGATGTTTTCTACTACATCCACCTTCGGCATGAGGAGGAATGGGTAATGTAGTCCGGCAGATAACCCGACCAATGAAAATCAGCAAACGCCATAAGAAGATCCTTCTTAATGACTGGCCAACATCTCTTATAGAATTCTAATGTAAACCAGTCCGGACCCGGGCCTTTAGTGCTATCGCTCAAACTAATTGCCTCTCAAATTTCCTTCTCTTAGAATTGCTAAATGAAAGCACTTCCCATTGCCTCTTTGAAAATAGTCTCGTAATAGGAAGCAATGGCCACCCCCAGCTCCCCCCGCCCTTCAACAACCACCTCATTGATGAAAATTCGATAAATAAGATTCATCTTACGTCGATAGTTTGCTACCCTATGAAAATATCTCGTATTCTTCACACCCAACTTCAACAACAATTCTCTAGATTTTTGCCTCTGCGATATCTCCCGCAGATTCAACGCATTCCTCAATTCAAGCTTTGAATTGTCGTGTTCAGCCTTCTCCTCGTCCGTAAGGACCTTCGTCTCCTCAATATAATCTAGCCTTTTGATGCTACTAAGCAAATTATCGATCCTCACATTGATGTTCCCAAAAACATTATGGTTTCGGAATTTGATATGACCTGTCAAAACAGCCAGCTTCCTAGACCAAAGGAAAACATCCCCTCTTCCATAAACCGAGATTTTACACCACTCTTCGACCCCTTGAAAGAATCTCTCGTCTTTGGTCCACATATTCTCAAACTTCTATGCTCTACGAATTCGATTGTTATTTCCCCATTTAATCAATACGGGATTGTGATCAGATTCTACACTGTCAAGCACAACCATGTTACAATCCGGGAACATTCTGTCAAAATAGACCGAGACTAAGGGGTCGTTTGGATGGATCAATTGTAAAACGAGACAATTTGACCAATTGTTTCATTTTACAAAACGAGTCATTTAAAACGAGTCAATTCATATTACCTGCCCCCACCCCAGACAATTGTAATTGGCTCAAAATGAGTCAATTCAGAATTCCTCAGCTCAAATTGCTTCATCCAAATTTTCTGCTGCCAAACGGATCAATCTAGCACAATTGACTCAAAACGAGACAATTGTGTCAGATTGATCCATTAGAATTCCATATCCAAACGACCCCTAAAGCTCTATCGATACGAGAAAGAGAGGCATTTCTCCACCCATTGCTCCACATAAACCGGCTACCTCCAAGAGGGAGTTCCAAAATGGCCAATTCATCAATGAACTCATTAAATTCAAGAATTAAGTCAGAATTCCTTATTACACCAATATAGTCTTCATGACCTCTTACGAGATTGAAATCTCCCGCAATACATAAAGGTGTCCCCACACCAGAACAGTGAGCCAAAAGACCAGACACAAAGAGAGGTATTGCTCCACCTATTGCTCCACATAAACCGGCTACCTCCAAGGGGGAGTTCCAAAATGGCCAATTCATCAATGAGCTCATTAAATTCAAATAGTAAGTCAGAATTCCTTACTGCACCAAATATAGTCTTCATGACCTCTTACGAGATTGAAATCTCTTGCAATGCATAAAGGTGTCCCTACACCAGAACAGTGAGCCAAAAGATCATACAGAAATTGAATCTTATCAGCACGATTCTGAGGACCATACACAACAACCAGATTCCATAAGTTACCTGTGGAGACCTCTTGAAAACCCACTGAGAGAAAGAAGGAACCCACGAAAGTAGACAAAGCTGTTGCATGAAGCTTGTCCTAGTAGACAAGGATACCCCCTAAATTTACAAATGCATCTTTCACAACCCAACCACAATCAAGTTGCCCACTGATGCTTCTAATCAGAGTGCCACTACAAGAATTCCATTTAGTTTCTATCAAACCAACTATCTTCGGTTTTCTTCTGCCAATAATTCCCTTGATGCAACTTCTTTTATCATCATCACACACCCCTCTCACATTCCAAATAAATAAGCTAGTACCCATTAGACTCCGCACATGTGTCAGAGCATCCATTCTTCCTCAACTTGCTCCTCGGCCCTTTCGGATCAGGCATGCTAGGGCCTAGGCGGCGCGCCTCCATCTCCTGTTTAGATATGTGGGCTTTGATTTTCCTATCATGAGTACTCTTAGCCGTATCCCGAATCAACATTTCCGTCTGCTCTTTGTCGCTGTCCATATCTAATCGAAGCATCCTGCTCAATTCCAAGCTCCTATCACTACAACAAATTCAGCTTATTATGACGAGGCAATTTTGTCATATTAGATAGCAATTGTCATATTAGGTATAATATGGCAAGAGTTGTTGTCACAAAGGTTTGTCATTTTATCGGCGTCAAGATAGGTCAAATGTGACAAAAATTTAGAACAAGGTTGTCACATTTGCTTTCAGTATAGCTGAGGTTCTGGGTAGTCTATTGTGACAAAAAAAGATGTTATGACGACATATTTTGTCATTATGGTTGTCATAATCTAGTGATTTTGGGGAGAATTTTCGTCATATTACACGGTTATATTTTGTCATAACTGTATATTGTGACGACTACATTTGGTCACAAGTGTTTATTGTGACAACATTATTTTGTCATAACTGAATATTATGATGAATATACTTTGCAATAACTGCATATTATGACGACTATAGGTTGTTAGGAAAGCTGGTTTAACTGTCTCATGTCTAATATGACAAGAGAACAATTTGTCAGGCAATGTACATAATGTGACGACATGACATTGTTGTCACATTTGACCTACTTCAAAAATTTCATAATTCGAAATTGATTGCTGCATTGCAACCTGATAATGGAAAGATAATCAAAGATCCAAAACATTACAACCATTTCCATGGCAATCTAACTCCTAGTTCAACATAACCAAACATTCTAAGTTATCCACTATGACACAAAACATTCTAACTCCTTTGCGGATCTTGGGTTCTCCTTTGGTTCATACTTCACCTTTTTATTCAGGACCTTCTAAATAATCTCATGACTGGCTCCTCAAGTCAATAATGATACGGTGATGAGCTCGATCCTCTTGGACTTCTCATGAGAACAACGAAGCTCTGGTCGAACGGACAAGAATGCCATGATAGCATTACAGTTACCCTGCATCTTCAACTGACTGCAAAATATTATCTTCTAATGCTAAGCAGTCCAAAGCACCAAAACCTACTGTGCAAGTAGAAATGGTGGCAAACAAATTGTCTGCAATATATTTAAGATACAGATAACATATCTAAAGGCCTAGCACTATCTGCTCTTAAATATACAAGTATTTAATAATATATGAAGTTTTAAATGTGTTTGATAAAGGCTACTAATCCTAAATTCTAATAAATTTTACACCACAAAAAAACACAGAAAATATTTTGATCAATGTACGAAAGCAGAAATCGGGCATGCATTTGACATCTATAAACTTGATTCAAATGTCGGTCCCCAGTTTATAGAATTCTGAAGATATAAAATTTTATGCAGCTCAACAGTACAATTCGTTACAGATTCCCTGGTCTTAGTCACGGTTGCAAATGTGCACTTTAGAAGCGCTTTCAACTAGCCTACGCACCAAGTCTTAATGCACCAGTCGGAAACGGAAATATTATATCGAATTAGCCACTGATTATATTCGGCCAATGCTCTCAATTCAAGGCTTCCTAAAGAATAGCTATAGAGTCGCAAAGTAGGGAATCAAGAAACCGAGAAAGAATATAAGAAACAAAATGAAAACCACCAACCTGTATACTTGATTCGTCATTGCAGAATTCTAATTTCTCCAAGTAACAAACGGCGAACTCCAACAATTGTTGCACAACAGCGATCACTACTAGCTCTGCCTGGTTAACTATCCACGCGATCACCACCAAGAATTGAAGAAATAACACCAATCAGTAACTAGTTAACTACTTGGGCGCTCAAACACAAAATTGGCAGTGCTTTCTTAGCCTAGCCAGAACAACCAAAATCCTCCATGCAAGAACAAGAAACTCCTAGAACTTGAAAGCAGGTACTTCCGCTCTGTCTTCAAACAGGGGGAAAAAGTACCTGAAAAAGATCTAGAAGCAGAGACGATCGCGAGGCCGAACGAGACGACGGACTGAATCTGTGAATTCGTCCATAACTGGAACCCTAACTTCTTATCCTTGACACTATCGTCATCGTCATGCTCTTCTTCTTCGACAACGACGGAGACACCCCGCTTTAGAATCAAGTAGAAGTGCTGGAGGGCGATGGCGATGGAAGTGTCCGAGCGGAGGGAGTGCAGGAAATCGGAGGACGAGCTGCTGGATTCGAAGAGACGTCGGTGGAGTTTGATCAAGTGGTCTTCCATTATCGGCCAGGCGAAAGCTGAGAAATTTTGGGATCAGAACATGAATTCCTTGCGTCGGAGATTTGTGTTTTAGTTTTATAGGCTGCTTGGAAAATTCTGCCCAGTTAGACACACTCATCAGTTAGAAAGGTGGTGAGGGGGAGACGAGAAAAGTGGAGGTAGCCGACGATGATTGAACTGGAAGATGAAGGTGGAGCCGAGCGGGAGAGCGGCTTCTATTGGAGAAGAAGATGAAGTAGGGTTCTGATTTCTGAATCCCTCCTCTCGTCTCTTGACAAAGCTAGCCCGAGGCCAAGCCCTTTCCAAATTGGTTTTTTTTTTGTCTCAACATTGTTAAGCGACTGCGTTTGAGCTTAATTTGGGCGGGGTTTTGGGGCGGAGCTTTTAGAGCTCGTCTCCGGTTCCTCACAAAATGGAATTAGGGTTCAATGAGCCCGACGTTTTTTATTTTTAAGTTTCAATTTATAATAACACTGATAAAGAGAAGAAGTGGAAAAAGAATCAATAAATTAAATAGGTATTAGGGGCAGGCGGGTGGGTGCATGATTTGAATTTTTCAATTACAGGGAAAATGTGGGCGGGCTTGGTCAAAATTTTTGGGCGGGACATGGCTGTAATTTAGGCGGGGTATGGTTGAATTTTGGGTGGGGAATGGGATTTTGTGAGTTCAACAAGCAAATATGACGAAAATGTATTTTGTCAAAAACGAAATCACTATGTTATGACGAACATGCCTTTTGCCAAAGCCGAAACCACTATATTATGATGAACATGCCCTTTTGTCAGCTCGTTGTTGGATTATTGCTATCTATTGTGACAAAATACTTTGTCATTTACATAATTCAGGAATGCATAATTTGACAAACTGAATTGTGACACAAAATATTTGTCACATTACTCACTTTAAATGACGAAATATTCTGACAACAAGAAATTTGTCACTGTTGAGTCTCTTATATCCCGATATGGGACGCCTATTTTGACAAAATTAATTGTGACGCAAAATATTTGTCACATTACTCACTTTAAATGACGACTTATTCTGACAACAGTTATTGTGTCACATTAGGCATACCAAATAGGACATATATTATTTTTGTCATACCATCGTACCTATTGTGACAAACAGAAAATGACAAAATAAATTTTTTGTCCTAATAGGTCGAATTTGTTGTAGTGTATTTTTCAAAGTAGCAAGGTCAAACAGGTAGGAAGCTGAGTCCCACTACCTAGCAGGGCTAGCCAGAGAACAAGAAGGAGAGGGAAGATCAAAATACACATTGATTTCACTATCAGAGCAAGTAGCCAGTTTGATTGGGACAGGGGTGACTAGGTTTGGGGATGAGAAGCTGGTAGGTGAACTAATTCGGGGTGCTTGGTATGAAGTCATGATTGTCGTTGTAAGGCAAAGAAAATGGAAGAGTGGGTGGGGATGAGGGTGGTTCCAGGTTAAAACGCGGGGGGGGGGGGGGGGGGGGGGGGAAGAAAAAGGATTGTCTGAGGTTGAGGAAGGGGGAAGAAAAGAATCACAAAACGGGAGTAAAGGATGGGATAAATCCAGAGATGATAGAGATATATTGACATTTGAGAGATTCAGTGACACCAGGGTGGATAATCCAAAAGAGGCGGGCCAGGATGGAAAAATAGAACTGAGGATGGAAACAAGATCTAGCACGCGAGCGAGCTTGGGCTGAGAGGTGAGACCATTAAATTGAGTGTGGGCCGACAGGCCCACTAAAGCTGAAGCTGAAACTAAAAAACTGTGAGTGCTTCAGTTCCTGAATCCGTAGAGCCTCTACAATGCTAGGGCAGATTAACATCCAGTTTACATCCGAAAGCTCCTCAAAACCAAAGTTATCCATGATAACCCATGCCCTAGGAGCCCATCTATTGAACTCAATCAGTAAGTTCTTCGAGAACACCTCCGAGGTTGAGATGGGTTTGACCACCAGACATCTCCTCAAGAAACTGAGGCTCTCGTCAACGCCCTCTCTACTTACCTTGACGAACTTATCCCGCCCTTACGTCTTAATGTTGCATCGACCTCCTCCATAGAAGCCACCATACTTGAAGGAGACACGAGGATGAACAAGCTTAAAAGAGGGATTAGAGTTTGTCATACCATACTCTCCAGATGAAAGAGATTCCCATCCTTCCTTCATGTTTCCTTGTAAAACAGAAAATGCCACCTGACTCCTTTTTTATTTCATCAAGTGAAAAGTTACAATATCCTTGTTGTATTTACATATATATAGATCTACAAAGTTCTATTAAAACAAACAAATAAACAAATATTACAAAGCAGTCCTATAACTATACATTCATTACAAATCAGTCCTCGGATTTATCTTCATCAGACAACTCCCCCGCAAGTTGGCGCGTATATGTCCAAACGTCCCATCTTGTTCTGCAAAAACTGAAACACAGCAACTGGGAGGGATTTGGTGAACATATCTGCCAATTGATTGGCTGAAGAAACATGTAGAACTTTAATAACACCATTCAATATTTGATCTCGAATGACGTGACAATCTATTTCTATATGCTTAGTACGTTCATGATTAATAGGGTTGTCAGCCAATTTAATAGCGGACATACTATCACAGAAAATAGGAGTGGTAGCAGCTAAATCAACATGTAGATCATGAAGAATATATCACAACCATATCAATTCACAAGTTAACCTAGCCATAGATCTGTACTCGGCTTCTGCAGCTGAACGAGAAACAGTCTTTTGCTTTTTCGAACGCCAACTAATAAGTGAATTCCCAAGCAAAACGCAGAATCCTGTTGTTGATCTACGAGTGTCTGGGCAACCAGCCTAGTCACTGTCACAAAAAGCCTGCAAAAACACTTTAGAATCACTAGAGAAAAGTAATCCTTAACCAACAGTTCCCTTTAAGTAACGAAGGATACGTTCTGCTGCTTGCATATGTATATCAGTAGGAGAATGTGTGAACTGACTTAACTGATGTACTGCATAGGCAAGGTCTGGTCGTGTATTACATAGGTATAAAAGTCGACCTATTAGTCTCTTGTAAGAAGAAGGATCAGGAAGGAGATTACCCGATTTGGCAGACAACTTAGGACCGGGAACAGTAGGTGAATCAGCCGGTTCTACACTCAAAAAACAGTGTCTGTTAAGAGATCCAAGGCAAATTTCCGTTGACACAACATAATACCTTTAGAAGATCTAGCAATCTCAAGACCAAGAAAGTACTTTAATTCACCTAAGTCCTTAATAGTAAAAGTCTGATCAAGTTTGAGTTTAATATCAGAAATAGAATTCAAGTCATTTCCCGCTAAAATAATGTCATCGACATACACTAATGCAACAGTGAACGAAGAATCTACACTTCTAACAAACATAGAATAATATGCTTTGGACTGTTTGTAACCAGCAGAAGTAAGAAAGGAGGTTAATTTGATATTCCATTGACGACTAGCCTGTTTTAAACCATAAAGAGATTTATTAAGATGACAAACATGATTTTTAAAATGAGAAGGAACAAACCAAACCTGGTGGGATTTTCATGTATACTTCTTCATCTAAATCTCCATGAAGAAAGCTGTATCAACATCTAATTGGTGCAAGAACCAACCATTTATAGCATCTAATGAAAGAACTACACGTACTGTAGTATGTTTCACAACCGGAGCAAAAGTTTCTAAGGAATTGACACGCAAAAACACAACACCTAACAATGGCCAAGTGTAACCAATGAAAGGGACTGCAGTATAGTGGCACAAGTAATAAATATCGAATCCACGGGTCTCTAGAGTTACTATTACTCAGCTTCAGTTCATTATCTAGCAAACTAGATTAAGGATTGATTTATAAACTACTCTACTGACTACTCTACTAATTACAAGTTGTGAACTCACTTAGGTATGATTCCCCCTAGCTCCTCAATTAGGTTCAAGTTGCAATTACCTTTGGTTGATCTACTGTTGATTAAACTGCGGAAGATCCGACAGTAGCTTGGAATCTCTTAAGCTGACCAAGCCCTCTCAGTCCAACTAACCGGCAGGCGACTAACCTTCACCGGGATAGAAAGCTGAGGCTATGAACACAGAACTCCACTACCGGAATTGGATTCCAGTACAAAGCAATAGATTGACTAACTCTCGTATAACCAATTCACCACCATCAACCAAGGCAGCTCTCTTAACCTAATCAGATTCTATCGATCATAGGTTAAAGCAGAAATCAAGAGAATTTGATCAAGATTCAATTGACTCAATAAATCATGCCTCAATCAATTATAATCAAACAATATAGCATCCAAAACTTCATACAAGAAAGATCCTAACACATGGAACTGGGGTTCCTCAAAACCTAAGTGAAGGGAAGTTACTCCATAGAGAAGAGAGAGACTGTAGAAATCTGATCTAGATCTTCAATCTCCATCTCCAAGCTTGATTCCCGAGCTCCAATGGCGAAGAAATCCTCCAAAATAGCTCCAAGAATGTTCCCAAGTCGCTCTCTCTCTAGGGTTCGTCCCTTGGGTGTTTGGGAACCAAAAACCCAGCTCTCCCTTTCCTTTGGCTGAAAATCGAGTTTTAAACAGAAATTCCAGATCACGCGGCCAGGCCACACGGCCGTGTGGCTTTCCCAGCTGCCCGTGTGAAGGCTCGGTGATTTCGACACGGCCACGTGGCCAGTTCACACGGCCGTGTGGGTCGTGCCCGTGTGGCTTGCTCAGCCTCTGTTTCATGCTTCGTTTCTCCCTCGTCCGGACTCCGAATCAGTCGCCGTTTGATCCCAGACGCTCGTAGTCTCGTCTTCTTTCTTTTCATGACAAGATTGCATGATTATTTTTCCATAAAGTGAGGCAGAAATCCATTCTTCTTCAAGTTATGCCCGAGTTTCTTCTCCCGAATCGTCAATTGATCTCAGATTGATTTGAAACTTGTGCCTATGCTTCACTTTATGTGCTAGGACCTGAAATGTGACAAAGGAACACAACCTAGCATAAAATAGGACAAAGACGCAATAA